ACACACACACACACACACACACACACACACACACACACACACACACAGAGCATATAAACAACATAAAACATTTCAAAATGCATCGCTGACTTGCAGGTCAAATATAATGCCGACAGTATAAAATAAGTTAATTTCGTATAGTTTTTGTTTTGTTATTTAGCAAGTGTGTACATCCTTATCTTCAGCAGGAAGTTAACATCCATTACAACGGTTACATCGAAGATGGCAGCGAGAGGACGAAACACGTCGGCGTCTCCCACCCGGGCTCTTCATTGGCACATGTGTGTCCATACAGGTGCGGGGGGGGAGGGGCTACCGCTCCTCCCTGACTGGCTGTACAGCCCGGAGGGGGGGAAACAGGCTGTGCTCGTTTAAAACACGAAAAGGAGATGCAAACGGAGAGAGACGAGGGGTCGATAAGGCAGAGAGGAAGAGCCGAGCTCATCACAGGAGATCTCGCATATCTAGAAGGCGAAGATCTTGTCTCTCTGGACGGTGTCGAGGTCGTCGTCCATGGTCATGAGGACCTGGGAGGGAACCCAAGAGGCGAGGGGTTAGTTAGAGTTTCCTGGTTTGGTCAAGTGTTTACTGTATCGGCATTATTGTTCACATTCATGCTTTTATTTTTAGTGTGCATGACGCGTGATCGTACCAGGAAGGATCCGAACATGGCGATGGAGGAGAGGAAGTGCCAAATGTCGTGGTCGTCAAAGAAGGAAAGCAGGATACAGTCCCTGTTGTGCTCACGAGACTCCGCGGGAGTTTTCTGCGTCAGGAGAGAAAAAAAATCCACACACACACACACACACACACGGTAAACTGATGCTACATTATGAAGAAATACAGAGGCAACGTGTGCTCTGACAGGCTAAAGGTTTGTAAAACTAACTCTACCGCTGTGTGACTCTAAGTCTACATCCACACTATTACTTAATGTAATGTGTGTGTGTGAGTTACTGACCTGCCAGGTGCTGAGACCCTGGAAGAAGAAATACAGTGCAAGGCCCCAGACCACGGCTGTGAACAGAATACACACCAACGCCAGACACTGGATCCTCTCACCGCTCCGCAGCTAAACACACACACACACACACACAAAAAAACAGCTGTAGATGTTTGAACCATTTTCTCCTTTTTAAATAAATCGAAACACTGCTTAAAAACATGTAAACACACACACACACACCTTCATAATGATGTAAAAGGCAAAGTAGAGCAGCAGGTTGCAGATGGCGATGGCCAACAGGTAGGAAGCGAAGTCGTTGGGTCTCTCTAGGAGGCCATAGGCAGCTCTACAGAGAGGAGGAAGAAGAGACACACACATGAAGTCATCATGTTGTTCTGCACATTCTGCTCATTTTACAAACACACCGCATTTACTTACAGAGACCAGTTGACTATGTTCCCCATAACGAGCAGAACCATCCGGTCCTGTCAGACAAAGGGAGGGAGACAAGTTACGAGCAGGTGATTTGGACTTCAATACAGGACACAGTGGTTCTTATAAGATTCCTTGTCAACTCCTATGTTGAAGCAGCTGTTTCTGGGTTGTTACTCACGATGTACATCGGTCCACTGCACTGCCGGATGCTGTCTGTGTAGATGATGTGCGCCATCCTGCGCAGGATCCCGGAGTCTGAAGCAAACGTACACGGACAGATGTTAGCTGCAGTCCAAACACTGCTCCAGAGGGTGCGGTTCAAACCCACAGCGTGAAAGTCAAGGTGACACTTTAAAATGCGCTATTACATAGAAATACATATTTTATTATACAGCACTGCAGCACACAATTGTCCCGTAACTTTTTTTTAGCTAAACAGATCTAATGTGATGCATCGGTCTTGTTTGAGTCCTATAAACAGATGCCTGCACTTTGGTAAATACGACCAAAGAGAAAAGATTAAAGACACGTCTGAAACCACAATGGATTCAAGTCAACCACCACTAATATCAAACCGCTCTGATCTTACCCAGCCGCCATCGGCCCATGTAGTACAGCTGTGTGCTGAGGAGCATGGTGGCCAGAATGTGGATCACCGAGAAAATGATCCAGAAGACGTTGTTTCCTTTCCCGAACACCTGGAAACGGATCGTCACAGACATGAGTGTGTTAGAAGGGACAGTGTGTAGGAGTTAGTGAAAGCACAGCGGTAAAGATGCAGATTGCAGCCAACAACCCTCCCCAAATCCTAGAACTACGGGTGAGGGCTCTCTAAAGAGCCGGTGTTTGGTTTGTCCATTCCAGGCTACTGTAGAAAACACAATCACCTTTAGTTTCAGGTGATTATACACCAATGAAAACACATTTATGAATATTATATTCCATTTCTGCCGATAAATCCAACAAACTGCTACTTTAAACATCACTCAGACCTTGTGGTGTATCTGTGTGTGTGTGTGTGTGCACGTACCACTCCCAGCACAGAAAAGAAGATGACCCCAGCCAGGCAGGCGTATGCAGTGTACGCACTGGCGTTGATGTCTGGGTGTCTCTTCTGGTACAACTTCAACATACACAGTCCAGCAATCATGTACATGAAGGAGGTGTCTGCAGAGGAGGACACAATCATCACTCGTCTGTCTTTTATCTCGTAACACAAAGAACAAGGAGGACATTGTTGGCACTGCATTAGAGTTCGGATCTATCTTCCGTAGTGCTCTAACCTGGTACTCGTGAACAACATGGAGGATACAGCTGGCAAAAAGGGATTCTGCTACAAGAAACATGACGGCAGACACATGCAGTCCTGGTGGGAACACGAGCAGCAGGTCTTACCAAACTGGAAGTTGGTGTAGTTGGGACAGACGTGGTAGCAGGCGCTCAGCAAGCCCTCCATCATCAGAGCCGTTCCCATGGCGTAATACAGACCGAAGTGCTTTGGGATGCCACATTCCTGTGTGGTGGGAGAGAGGAACAGTTCATAAATACAACTTCTTGACTTCTACATGTGCTGCATGTCTCTGGATGTGCCTGCATCTTCCCTTTTAATCCCTCCCACTTCTGACTCTTTAATGCGATATCCTGAGTTCACCAAGACGTTAAAAGACCAGAGAGGTACTGCTGTGCACGTCACGGAGAAGAGCCATCACGCTAACGATGCTAACGTTCATGTTTTTCAATCATTATTGACTCCAGTAATGGAGCTGAACGCCGTCTTTAGCTGGGCGTGTGTGTGCGTGTGTCTTTACCAGCGCGTTGATGTCATTGCGGACCAGAGCTCTCTGGTGGACGATATCTCTTTTGAGGATGATGAGGAGGAAGAGGAGTCCCAGCAGCACGTAGCCGAGGTTGCTGAGGATGTTGTTGAATGCGCTGCGTGCGACAAACAGCTTGTGTCAGCACTTTAGAAGACAGGCGTGCGATCTGCTGCAGTTTGTAATGACACATTGGAGCTAACCACGCACCTTAGAGCCCCCAGAGGGTGGGCACACAGGAAGTTGTAGTAGCAGATGTCCTGGTTTCCTGTGACATTGACCACCTGAAGAACAGAGTCGGTTTAACATCTTTACTTTAAATCATATCCTATATAATCACAGTTTTATGTCTCATGTACCGTCTGATAGGTGATGACCAGCTGGACGACTGGCAGCGCGTAGAACACAGCGATGGTAGCGATGTTCCTGCAGAGGAGACAAGCACGAGACTTTAGAATAAAAGGAATCTTTGTAGTTGATTCTACTTTTAATGGTATTTGTTTTTCTCTGTCAAACCCAACGTCCTCACCAGAAGTAGATTTGGTATTTCTTGCTGAGGATCCTCTTGTCTTTGCGGGACAGGTCAGCCACATAGAGAAACTTCTGCAACAAGGAGAGGACGTAGTTACTCGTCATGGAGGGAGATAAAAAAAAAAAACAGCGTGACCCAAAGACGGAGACACGAGGCGTACCTTGGTGCGGACAATGTTTTTGTCCGAGTTGATGTCATCCAGCGTGTCATAGTCGTCCTCCTCCACAGAGCTCAGGGACTCATGCCGGCTCCGCCCAACACTGTCCAACGATCGATCTGATGGAGGAGAGAGGAGGAAGAGGTCAAGGCAAGATAAAGAAAAGAGCCTTGGTGGTTTATTTAAATGGTGCGAAGGTGTTCAAACACATCACACCTTTTGAAATGAGTTTGCAATTTCCAAACATACTAAACTGAAATATCAGAGTGATTGTTGGCACTTGGATCTGTGTTGTCTTGCTGTTCATTTCAATTGAATCAGATTAGGAATCAGGCCACTTCCTGGCATCAACATCTGTCTCATTGATGTTTGATTCACAAAGTGCTGATTGGTTTGCTTTTTTAACTGATTGAACCGATTAGGCGGCAGTGTGTGTCACCAATACGGATGGCTAAGTGATGGAGGTGATTGAGGATTGGGCGCCGTTTGAAAGGCTCCTGTCCTGATGAACAGAAACAAAAAATAAGAGACAGAAACCGGTGAGGGACCAGAGCAGCTTGCAGGAAGTCGTCCACGAGCCAGGCTGTGGAGACATACTGCAAAGTGACGAGTGGCGGGACAGAAGAAGAACGGCCTGTGTCCGTACCAACGTATCCATAGTTGTTGTCGGTGGACGTGGCGCTGTCCGTGATGGCCTCTGAACTCAGTGTGCTGCCGTTGTCGGCTGGAGGAAACAAAAAAAAAAAAAAAAGAAAAAAAAAAAAAAAAAAAGGTGAGAGGTTTAAATTCATCGTCCACACAAACAAACAAAGACATCATCAAAAGTAGAACTGTCCCAAAACTCACCAAAGGAGCCGTATTCATATGGGGAGGCTGGAGTTTGGCCTGCTGACACACACACACACACACACACACACACACACACGCACACGCACACACACATTTAAAACAAACAACTAAGAATAGATGCACAGACGAGACGAGCACCACTACAACCAGTACTTAGTATCTTAACCCTGCACACTAAAGCACTACAGCAGCTGAATAGTTAGTGCGTGAACACAGAGAGGTGAACACATGCAGGGATCCAGCTTTCTATCTTGTTTTCAGGCTCAAATGCCTGAAAACAAACAGTTTTAGTTTAAACGTTTAGTGACAAATGTGAGCACAGAATGGTGCACATGCTGGTTGGTCTGCTGCGGTGAGAGTGAAAGCTGCTCGCGTCCTGCGCTTTTAAAATCAAATCATGTCGGCACACACTGCAACTAACAGACACAGATATACACTGAGAGGTCGTCTGCAGTGTCCACAGTTATCCCCGGTATTCCATCTTATTCTTTTGTTTGTCTCTTGTGTCCTTAGCATTGTGGACCGTATTGTAATAAACTCAGACATCAAGGATACTGTGACAAATGCAGGCATCTCTGTGACCCAGGCCGTAAAAGCATGGAGCTCTAGTAGGTGAGTGAGTGCATGCAGATGAAACCACAGACAATAAACACAGTGAGAGAGACTCGTTATACCGTCTCCGTTCTTCCCGAGCAGAGAGGCTGAAGCACACGTTAGCACGAGGGAGAGAGAGTGAAAGACACACATTCAGTACATAAAGAGTTGTTATTATACCGCCTTGTTAAATGTAGGTAAACATCGTCTACTCTACAGTACAGGTTCAGGACTTTTAATAAAATGGTACGCGCTTCAACGCAAACTAACGAGCCCCTTAACGGGCCAGTCCATCACGGCCAGTTGCTGGGTTACCTGTCTCAGCGGGCGACATGTCAGCAGGAATCTGAAACACCTCGCTCTTCTTCATCCTGCAGACACCCAGAGGAGAAACATGCAAATCAAAGTCATCTGTATTCAGTGTGGCGTTCCTCCTGCAGTGCAGCTGTATAAATCTACATCCTTTCATTAGACACAAGCACCCCGGGGTCCAACCACCACCAAATACAGAACCTTTAAACCCTAACATTGTAAACTTGTAATGTGTTTTTAGATGATTTTCCATGTCTTTGATCACATTTAACCAAACTAAATCTGATTAAGGCCAATAAAACCATCTCTGTGACCTGGAATGAGGACTGTCTGTGGCTACGGGAGGAAATACAGAGCAAGATATCTGTGTCACTACAAAGGGACTTAACTCCCGGATGATGACGTAACTAACTGTTGACTTACCGCTTGTTCTCCACACAGGCCATGAGCAAGGTGAGCAGATAGAAGGAGAGGAAGATACCCAGGCAGAACAGCATGCCCATCACATACACCTCCGCTGTGGAGAGTGAAGACAGACCGTTCACACGCTAATACTGCACGACCTTACCTGCACTGCATAATGAAATGATATGGCTACATCTTACAATAGGGAGAAACACACACAATATGCAGCAAGTAAAAAGTTAAAACCTTAAGTTATGCATTGTTTCTTTCTCTTCTACTTCTTCTACTTTTGGGAGCCCTGGGTTGAATCAAAATGTTGCTCTTATAAAGATGCTTAATTTCCCACAGTTGCACAGTAGATTTTAACCCAAAGAAACACAACCATGAACCGGACAATACCTCATGGGTATGTTAGCTTTTTAACCGTAGCCATTTAAAAACCACTCGATGGCGTACAACTAATCCACGCGGCTCACATTTGATAGCAGGTGTGACGATCACGTCGATGATCTTGCTGCGGTTCCCGGCGTCGATGAGCTCGTCGGGACGGAGAGGGTAGAAGCGCAGCGGACCGCCGCACGCCTCGTCCTCCGTCTTCACCACCACCACCACGTAGAAACTGTTGCTGGGAAAGTCTTTTCTCTAAATGACAGAGAGGGACGTCAGAAGATGTTCATATGTGCGGTTTTATTACTGCGGGCGCCACGTGTGTGTCGGACTCTTACCTGCACAGTGATTGCGCCTTTTTTGGTCATCGTCTGGTACATCCCAATGAAGGCCACGTTGTTGTCGAGGTCATAGACGGGACACTGAAGAGAAAGAGAGAGAAGAAGAAGAAAACATGAAAAACACAAAGCATTCAAATATTAATCACAACAGAGAACAAGAGGCTACAGAAACAGAACACAGGGACTCTAAGCATGAAATAATATTCAATAAAAAAAAGAAATAACATTATTTAAGAACATTATACAATAATTTGCACTGACTCTGTTGCAACGAGATCAGTTATGGCCTCACGTGGCTCAATGGTGTTTGTTACTGCATGCTGACAACAATGCAGGGGCCACTTCAGGACACCAGCTGTCTGGTTTGAGAGGACGGGGGGGGGGGGGGGTGTACCTGGATGTCCTGGATGGACATGACGGAGCAGGGAAAGGTCATGTCCGAGTTGACCTTTACGATCACAGTGTCCACCCCGTCCGGGAAGACATACTTGAAGTACTGAGAGAAAGAATAATAACAAGGATTCAGGGATAATTAGAGGGGATGAGATGAGAAAACACAGATTCAGAGTCTTCTCTTTGCTCTCTCGTGAGCTCAACTTCCACAACGTGATGAAACAAAAGTAGATGAACACTGACTGACCTCATGTAGTACAAGGTTTATTATCTGTGAGGTGCTACAAAAGGCCAGAAAGGAAACACTACTTTGCTTTCGTTTGTCAAAGCATAGAAAAGAATTTCCTCTGAATAATTGTGTAAAAGGTGAATTTCCCTCCGTTCTTACTTCCTCAGCGTCTCGTCACCATGGCCCTCTCTACACACTCTGTCAAAGTAGTACTTTGTGCACATCGAGCGGTCGGTCGTACCTGAGGTTGTGATGGTGACGCGGTGAAGCTGAACTTCTTGTCCGTACTGTAATCAAAGGTGAAGAAGAACATGTCAGACATCAGCAGTCGGTAAAACAAAACGCAGCCTGACGGCGAACGCCTTGAGCCGAGTACTCGTTGTGTGTTGGTTGTGATTATAAACGGACGTCACTCACTGCAGGGTGAAGCTTTCGACGCGGCTGACCCTGAGCTGGTAGTTCGTACCCTGGGTGGAGAGGGTAGACACGTCCACAAAGAAGTACTGGGTCTCCGAGGCGACCCGGGTCGGAGGCTGGCACAACGTCCGGCCCACATGATTGTACGGGTACTTCCTCTGGTAGCTGGAGGAGAGAGAGAGAACAGGCGAGCTCATGTTCACATTCAAAGGGAATGAGTTTGAGTCCTCTCTTTCATGTGAATTTTTGTATGTTGTTTCTAACTTTTTGCTGTTGTATTTTTAAATCTCAATGGGGTTATCTGATGACTTCGAGCTGCCAGTAAGACGCCAGCGATTGGGTTTCAGAGGAGGAAGTGAAAGTCCAAAGTTTCTAAGGAGATCTGCTAAAACATGGCGTGCCAGGAAACGGCATGTGCAAGAATGTGGCAAGGTAATTCTGGTGTTGCACAACAGAGAGGACCTTGGAGTGTGGGAGACACGGATCACATCACAGGTCGGGTGTTAACCAATAGCTAATAAACAGCCGAACTCCAAAGAAAGAATGAATAGCTGCAGTTCTAGAAAATGTCCAAACACACAACTATTACACCTCCAAATAAGAGACCGACACCAGAACCAGAACATTAGCTTCATCGTGTGACCGGAAGTCATCACTGATTACTCAGCACAACACTCCCTTAGGAGTATGAACCACACAGTGGACAAATATACTGTGGACGAGAAAGATAAGATTCACAAATACACAAAACATGATCGGCCTACGTTCTAATTATACTATACTAATAATAATAATAACAGGCAACAGAGGACACTATACTTTTGTTCTTTTTCGTTCAGGATCATGCTTGTAGGTGGGTCCAGTGTGTAAATAGTGTACATGAGTGTGCGTGTACTCACAGGCCTCTTAGGATGAGAGGGATCTGAAACGACAGCACAGCTTGCTTCTGTCGCACCACGAACAGGATGGGACTCTCGAAGCCCTGCGACACATCCACGGTCACGCGCACTCCCTCCGACTGACACCCCCAAAAAAGAAAGAAAAACAGATCTCTCACCACACGTAATAACACAAATAACACCAGGGTGTTCGTATAAACTCACCTTATTCCTGGAGACGGTGTGGTTGAACGCATAGATGGTCTGGTTTTCACTGGTGACGGTGTCGTTGTAGGTGATGTCGAATTCGGCATCTTTCTGGACCACGTTCTTGGTCTGCCCCTGCGCCCCACCACCCAAAACAAACTGGGTCACACAGAACCAGAGCAGGATCCAACAAGGAGCTGGTCCACGGCAGCTTGTTTTATGTCGAGACTTCCAGCAGCTCCGTAACACCATTTTGTCTGACACCGTCTTCCCAAAGTGGAACTGATATCTAACCCCCACCCTGCAGCAACACTAATGACAACTCCTCCCTATTCAACAAGCTAGCTTAACCAACAGCTGCTAACTGACGAGCTATAGACACAGCTGGGTGTTCACATTAGCTAATGAATTAGCTCCTCGTCCTGTTTCAGGTCCGTAACAAACCCCCCGTCGGCTATGAAATCAATTGCACACGTCCCAACAAGTTGACAACGGTCGTCAATCCTTCTTCAGCTGAAAGACTGAGCCGAGCCGTTAGCTAGCTGTGCTAACGTTAGCATCGTTGGTCGCAGGACGCTGCTGGGGCAGCTCCATGTTTTGATTATCGGGAGTTCGGCTTCCGTGTTCAAAATAAAACATCACGTGTTTGTTTGTTTTTGTTTTCAAAAGTCCAGTCCAGTGTGGGCGGTTGTCACGCCCTGTATTTTTGCGGAGGCGCCGCCGCGACGTTGTTGTGCAAAGTGTCTCTCGAGCGGAGGGTTCTGAGATTCAGCGTGTTTACAGTGTGGAAAGAAAAACAAAATCTGTGACATTAGGCTCGTTCGACATAAGCCAGGCGTGAGCAGAATCGATCACCGCACAATGCATGCTGGGTAGATTTGCGTCCGACTTGCTCTGACGTCATGAAAACGTGCGTAACGATGATCTCACGTGAGCGAGGCGGCAGCAGATTTTAGAGCCAGGCGCTGCAGAATTGCTCTCCACCGACTGCGTGATGGGAAACTTCTGGCTGTCTTCGGATCAAAGAGCTGATAGGCTCTTAGATTTTCTTGAGTAGAAGAGGTAGGCGACCGTGGCTCACTGGGTTAAGAGGGTTGTCTGGTAGCCGATTTACATTACATTTACTTGATGTTGTCTACAGTTGATATAGACCCTAATTGAGCACTTGATGTAGAGCAACATAATGCATGTTTGCGTGTGTTCTCCAGCACCACATAGTGGATACAGGAACTAGTAGAATATTTGCACTACATCATTTCTAGTGTCACACAGTCCACGCAGGACAAATACGTTGAACTCTGGGACGCGTTGTCTGATGGCCGAAGACATTCCCGCCCGCGTCTGCCGGTGTCCCGCCCGTTCATCGCTGCTTGCAGCTTTAATTTCGGCTTATTATTACAGTTTAGAGCAGATTTAACAATATTTCACTTGCTCTTTTTAAACGCCAGAGTACACGCTCAGTATAACGTTAAGCTGAATGTGTGTGCTGTTGTTAGTAATCTGCTAGAGGACTTTAACACGCTGCATGTAGCTGTTAGCTGAAGTTTAACGGTGTAACGCTGTATTAGTCGTCCTATTAAAGCTTTATTTTGGGTTTGTATTGAATGTGTCTCTCCGTACAGACTCTACGCAGATGTTGCCAACGGTCGACTCTCCTTGTGGTTGCAAGGCGACCGTGGAGCTCGAGCTCGGCGTCCTCTCCTCTTCTGCACACGAGGTTCCTCCTCTTCCTCACCCAGCGTTTCTATGACGTAGAGATGCTCCTCAGCTGGGGGTCTCAGCAGAGGAGGAAGGGGATCCAGAGGAGGAACGCGTGAGAAACCTTTTTGGCTGTTTTGTGTAGTATCGTGAAGCTTTCTTTCTATTGGGCTGAAAAAAGTTCAAAGTTTTGTGCAACACCTTCCTGATTTTAAATGTGTTTAGTCTTGTGTGTTTGCAATACAAGTTAAACAGGCCTGCATGATATTATGAAATATGCAATATTTACATCAGCTGCACTGCGTCGTATGTAGATGGTATTGTGCAACATGTTGCAGTAAATTAATTAAATTAAAAATGCTTTGTCAAAAAATCCTTTTGCACAGATTTAAAGATCTGTGTACTTGTACTGTCAGTCAGGGCCTGAGAGTTCCCCCCCAAACTAGAAAAAGCCTTTAAGGGAGACTACAGTTTGAAACACTATATAGAACTTCTCTAATTCATCTATCGTGGACTTCATAAAGATGAGACGTCGAGCCAATAAAGTTGTGAAAGACGGATTCCTTTGCAGTGGTGTGGGGGGAGGTTTGCTTCAGGTGGAAAGCTAAATATTGCTGTGAATGGGTCAGAAATATAAAATAGCTGACACAAAACCTTAATTTTGTTGTTGTAGTTTAGGCCAAGTGTCCACTGTTGGCTCATGTGTATTTAACTACATTTATGTAACATTCCATACCAGTCATATCATAACGAGTTAATGACGTATTCATTAGCTCATTTATTTTATTACATTATTACTTGGTTGTCATATTTCTAGCCTACGTCACCACATTTCTCAATTTTTCTCCTCTCTTTTTCTCCAACTAATGTGCCGATCAACAACGGAAGCAGACCAAGAAGCTAGGTGGGCGGAGCATTTTAGCGAGGTGCTGAACAGGCCTCCACCAACAACACAGGCCAACATCCAAGATGCAGAAGCAGATTTGGATATCAGCATTGAACCACCAACCAAAGATGAAATTATAATGGCGATTAAATCCTTAAGAAACAGGAAAACCCCTGGTCCAGATAACCTCAATGCAGAGCTCTTCAAAGCAGACCCGAATCTGGCAGCAACAATTCTTCAACCACTTTTTACGTCTATATGGGAGAATAAGAAAATACCTGATGACTGGTCAGAGGAGATCATCAAATTACCAAAGAAAGGTTCTCTAAGAAATTGTAACAACTGGCATGGAATTACACTTCTGTCAATACCAAGTAAGATCATGGCAAAGATTATTATTAATCGAATAACAGATGCTGTAGACCAACATCTCCGAAAAGAACAGGCAGGTTTCAGAAAGGGTAGAAGTTGCAACGATCACATATTCACGTTACGTAACATCATAGAGCAGTGCACAGAGTGGCAGAGGTAACTGTATATAAACTTTGTTGACTTTGAAAAAGCATTTGACTCCATTCATCGTGAAAGCCTTTGGCGTATATTGCGGCATTATGGGATCCCTGAAGATATGGTTCATGTGATCCAGTTTTTATACCAACTTCACATGCAGGCTTGGAAACAGTCTCCAAATATTCCAAGTAAAAACAGGTGTGAGACAAGGATGTGTGATGTCAGCTTTGCTCTTCAATATTACTATTGACTGGGTAATGAGACAAACAACTGAAGACCAAAATAAAGGCATTCGATGGACACTATTTTCATCACTTGAAGGACTATGCAGATGATCTCTCTCTTCTTTCACATACTCATCGGCACATGCAGGAAAAAACATCCCGCCTCAGTGATTTTGGTCAGAAGATTGGCCTGAAGATCAGCAAAAAGAAAACAGAAGTGATGACTCTGAACATTCCCAATCCCTCACCAATTCAGGTGAACGGAGAAGATCTCCCTAAAACTGACGAGTTTACATATTTGGGCAGCACTGTCAAACACGATGGGGGCACAGATAAAGACATCAAGAATCGTCTTAATAAGGCAAGGAACGCTTTCAAAGTACTGAATAACATATGGAGGTCACAGCAGTACACCATCAAGACCAAACTTAAATTGTATCAGAGCTGTGTTTTATACACCCTATTGTACGGTTCTGAATGCTGGAGAATGACACAAGAAGACCTCAACAGACTATCAACCTTCCACACCAAGAGTTTAAGACGAATACTGCACATTTTCTGGCCAAACACCATTTCAAATGAATGGAGACCATCCTAATGAGAAGAAGATGGGGATGGATAGGACATGTGTTGAGAAAAGATCCTGCTGATATTACAAGAACAGCCTTACATTGGACACCAGAAGGGAAAAGAAAAAGAGGCCGACCAAGAAACACATGGAGAAGAACTGTGGAGAAGGAGATGCAGAGCCTAAACCACTCATGGGGCACCATCCAGCGACTCGCCCAGGACAGACGGGAGTGGAAGACTTTTGTTGCTGCCCTACATGCCAAGAGGCATAAAGGGAAATGATGAATGAATGTGCCGATCATAAAGTTAAACTGATTTATTTCTTGTCTCACACAGATACTACGGCTACACTTGGGGTTTATATGGCGCAGACATAGCAGCAGCGTATTATATCTTGAGTCTGAGGGGAGGATTTAGGTAAGTGCCCTGCTACCTTGTCTCTCTACTGTTTGTCTTATGGATATACACTGCTCAAAAAAATAAAGGGAACACTTAAGCAACACATCCTAGATCTGAATGAATGAAAGTCTTATTAAATACTTTGTTCTTTACATAGTTGAATGTGCTGACAATAAAATCACACAAAAATTATCAATGAAAATGAAATTTATTAACCCATGGAGGTCTGGATTTGGAGTCACACTCAAAATTGAAGTGGAAAAACACACTACAGGCTGATCCGACTTTGATGTAATGTCCTTAAAACAAGTCCAAATGAGGCTCAGTAGTGTGTGTGGCCTCCATGTGCCTGTATGTCTCCTGAGGGATCTCCTCCCAGACCTGGACTAAAGCATCCGCCAACTCCTGGACAGTCTGTGGTGCAACGTTGGTTGGTGGATGGAGCGAGACATGATGTCCCAGATGTGCTCAATTGGATTCAGGTCTGGGGAACGGGCGGGCCAGTCCATAGCATCAATGCCTTCGTCTTGCAGGAACTGCTGACACACTCCAGCCATATGAGGTCTAGCATTGTCTTGCATTAGGAGGAACCCAGGGCCAACCGCACCGGCATATGGTCTCACAAGGGGTCTGAGGATCTCATCTCGGTACCTAATGGCAGTCAGGCGACCTCTGGCGAGCACGTGGAGGGCTGTGCGGCCCTCCAAAGAAATGCCACCCCACACCATTACTGACCCACCGCCAAACCGGTCATGCTGGAGGATGTTGCAGGCAGCAGAACGTTCTCCACGGCATCTCCAGACTCTGTCACGTCTGTCACATGTGCTCAGTGGAACCTGCTTTCATCTGTGAAGAGCACAGGGCGCCAGTGGCGAAGTTGCCAATCTTGGTGTTCTCTGGCAAATGCCAAACGTCCTGCCCGGTGTTGGGCTGTAAGCACAACCCCCACCTGTGGACGTCGGGCCCTCATACCACCCTCATGGAGTCTGTTTCTGACCGTTTGAGCAGACACATGCACATTTGTGGCCTGCTGGAGGTCATTTTGCAGGGCTCTGGCAGTGCTCCTGCTGTTCCTCCTTGCACAAAGGTGGAGGTAGCGGTCCTGCTGCTGGGTTGTTGCCCTCCTACGGCCTCCTCCACGTCTCCTGATGTACTGGCCTGTCTCCTGGTAGCGCCTCCATGCTCTGGACACTACGCTGACAGACACCGCAAACCTTCTTGCCACAGCTCGCATTGATGTGCCATCCTGGATGAGCTGCACTACCTGAGCCACTTGTGTGGGTTGTAGACTCCGTCTCATGCTACCACTAGAGTGAAAGCACCGCCAGCATTCAAAAGTGACCAAAACTTCAGCCAGAAAGCATAGGAACTGAGAAGTGGTCTGTGGTCACCACCTGCAGAACCACTCCTTTATTGGGGGTGTCTGTCTTGCTAATTGCCTATAATTTCCACCTGTTGTCTATTCCATTTGCACAACAGCATGTGAAATTGATTGTCAGTGTTGCTTCCTAAGTGGGCAGTTTGATTTCACAGAAGTGTGATTGACTTGGAGTTACATTGTGTTGTTTAAGTGTTCCCTTTATTTTTTTGAGCAGTGTGTGTGTGTATATGTGTATATATATATATATATGTGTATATATATATAT